ACCAGTTCTACAACATCATGCGTTGTGCGCTTTGCGGGGATTTCCTCAAGTACTCTGCAGGCATGCAGTGTGAGGATTGCAAGTACACTTGTCATACAAAGTGTTATTCCAGTGTGGTTACGAAGTGTATCAGCAAGAGTAACGCTGAGACCGATCCCGACGAGGAGAAGATCAACCATCGTATTCCGCACAGATTCAATCCTTATTCCAACATGACAGCAAACTGGTGCTGTCACTGTGGTTACATTCTGCCTTTTGGCAAGAAGAACTGCAGAAAGTGCTCAGGTATATTTTCTTTGACTTTGTTTGCTGCGTTGTGAAACTAATCCTTTATCTGTAGAATGCAATCTTACTGCACACGCCCAGTGTGTTCACCTTGTTCCTGACTTCTGTGGCATGTCTATGGCTGTTGCCAATCAGATATTGGATGGGATAAGATCACAGAAACAGAGACAGGCAAAGGTCTCTTCACTAACAGAAAAGACTCTCCGGCAAGGAAAATCGAGCCCTACCAGTACTCACTCCCCGGCACCATCCTACTCCAGCTCGTCCGCACCTCCCTATCAGCCAGGACCTGCCTCACCTGAGGCAACTGAGGCTGCTAAGGTTATGTACTCGAACCAGACAACACCACGACCTGGCCACCCCGACCGAACTTCATCCAGCTCAACGGCGGCAGCGGCAGCCTCTGCGGCCATGTCTGGAGGACCTGGAGGGGCCCAGAGACAACAATCTGATTATGGACGTTACAGTGGAGGGTACGACCAGCAACAAGAGGATCCCTACGCTCAAGGGGGCCAATACGGCGCGGGTCAGCAGCGCAAGTACAACCCGGCTGACTACGCCAACGTCAACCCTAGCTACGGAGGACAACCGCCAGCTCAGGCTCAGCGACCAGTGCAACAGCAGCCAGCTGCACAACAGCCTCCTCCCCAGCAACCGCTGCCTCCGGTGCCACAACACCAGCCTCAGCAGCAACAAGCTGGTTACCAGCAACCATCAGTACCAGCACACCAACCCCAGTCACCGGAAGCAATGTCTCCTAAGCAGCAGTCTGCATCTGGTGGAAATAAGGCACCACTACCCTTGGCTACAGACCCAGGTACTGGTCAACGAATCGGACTTGACCATTTCAACTTCCTGGCTGTGCTGGGTAAGGGTAACTTCGGCAAGGTCATGCTTGCTGAAACAAAGCGATCTCGCAAGCTCTATGCTATCAAGGTGCTCAAGAAAGAGTTCATCATCGAAAATGATGAAGTAGAAAGCATCCGCTCTGAGAAGCGTGTGTTCCTGGTTGCCAACCGAGGTAGGCACCCGTTCCTCACCAACCTGCACGCATGCTTCCAGACCGAGACCCGTGTGTACTTCGTAATGGAGTATGTTAGCGGTGGTGATCTGATGTTGCACATTCAGCGAGGTCAATTCGGTACCAAGCGTGCCCAATTCTACGCCGCAGAGGTGTGCTTGGCCCTCAAGTACTTCCATGAGAACGGTGTCATCTACCGTGATCTGAAGCTTGACAACATTCTGCTGTCACTCGACGGTCATGTCAAGATTGGTGATTATGGCCTGTGCAAGGAGGATATGTGGTATGGTTCGACAACTAGTACTTTCTGTGGTACTCCCGAGTTTATGGCTCCCGAAGTATGCCCATAAGATCCAATCCCTTTTTGTTCTCTGTGCTGACTTTTTTCCAGATTCTTCTCGATAAGAAGTACGGTCGTGCTGTCGACTGGTGGGCATTTGGTGTCCTGATCTACCAGATGCTTCTCCAACAATCACCTTTCCGTGGAGAAGATGAGGATGAAATTTACGATGCCATTCTCGCGGATGAACCACTTTATCCTATTCACATGCCTCGGGACTCAGTCTCTATTCTCCAGAAGCTGCTCACTCGTGAGCCTGACCAGCGACTTGGAAGCGGCCCTACTGATGCCCAGGAGATAATGAGCCAGCCATTCTTCCGCAACATCAACTGGGATGACATCTACCACAAGAGAGTGCAGCCTCCTTTCATGCCTCAAATTAAGAGTGCTACTGATACCAGTAACTTTGATTCGGAGTTCACCAGCGTTACTCCCGTGTTGACCCCAGTCCAGTCTGGTAAGTTCTGCATCTTCCAGGTTCTTGATCTTTCGCTAACAATCACAAGTTTTATCACAAGCCATGCAAGAAGAATTCCGAGGCTTCTCCTACACAGCTGATTTTGATTAAGCGACTGGACTAACAAGATTGACGATTTTGCAATGTTTTATCGAGACGATGGAGCCGCGGTGGAGTTGTTGTCTTGTCTATCGGATACCCAGGGGCGATAGTGAATAGATGGTCGGACACCGCGGGCAGGTGATGTCGGCGCAGTGAACACAGGATGGGCGTCTTATCCAGGCGCATTCTTTCCACATTCGCTGTGTCGCTTATAGCGGTTGGCTTTCAGGATATTGGTAGTTGGGCGAGTAAAACGTACATGGGCACGATTAGTACCTTGCCCTATTGAGATGGTGAAGCAAGCGACTCTAGCGGTAGATGAGTATCGTATACAGCAGCATTTGAATGCACGTGAGCTAATAGAAACCAGAGAGGAGATCATCAAAAATGAGTTGCAGGTGATGGCTTTTATTATATGTTTCACTGCACGGTGGTATTCGAGGATGTGCTCTTTGATAAGGTCTATATACTGCTTCATGATTCGTTTTCACATTGTCACAGTTGCGTTTGTAGGTGCGAGGGGGCATTGACATGTTTTAAATATTTTTTTGACCTATGTTTTGTTTATTCCATTTATACCTCGACCTCTTTCTAGATTTTCTCTATCGTTCTACGATGTGTACTCCTTCTGCAGGAGCTTGGCAATAGTGTTAAGTCTATAGCATGTTAGTGTTTGCTTCGATGTAATTACTAGACTGGAACTTACTGGATGTTGCTGGTACCCTCATAAATGGCACCGATCTTGCTGTCACGGAAGTACTTCTCAGCAAGACCCTCGCGGACAAAGCCCATGCCACCCATCCACTCGATGGCGGAACCACTGACACGACCAGCGACTTGAGAAGCGTAGAGCTTGGCCATGGCAGCATCCTTGACAAAGTCCTCGCCAGCCTCCTTCTTGCGAGCAGCAGTGTAGACGAGAGCGCGAGCGGCAGTGATTTCGGTGTAGGCCTGGGCGAGCTGGTGCTGCATGCCCTGGAACTCACCAACAAGAGAGCCGAACTGCTTGCGGTCGTTCCAGACGTAGCGAGCAGCGTTCTCAAAAGCACCGAGAGCCAGGCCGGTCATCTGAGCAGCGATACCAATTCGACCCTCGTTGAGAAGGGCAATGGCGTACTTGTAACCGTGGCCACGCTCACCGAGGAGGTTCTCCTTGGGGATCACAACGTCGTCGAAGTTGATGACACATGTGCTTGAGGCGCGAATGCCGAGCTTCTTCTCCTTCTTAGCAATAGAGAAACCCTTGGTGCCCTTCTCGACGATGAAGGCAGTGATTCCCTTGTAGCCCTTGCTGGGGTCGAGGTTGGCGAAGACAATGAAGAATTCGGCTTCCTTGGAGTTTGTAATCCACATCTTGCTACCTGAGATCTTGAAACCGTCGGCGGTCTCAGTAGCTCTTGTGGCCATGGCAAAAGCGTCGGAACCAGAGACAGGCTCAGAGAGACAGAAAGACGCAACGGTGTTTGTCGCAAGGCGAGGGAGCCACTTCTTCTTAATAGCAGCGGAGGCGTACTTGATGATAGCTGTGTTGCAGAGGGTGTTGTGCACATCAACCAGGACGGAAACGGAGGGATCTGCACGGGCAAGCTCCTCAATGGCGATAATGGCGGAAGTGAAGTTCATGCCGGCACCTCCGTACTCCTCGGGGATCTCAATACCCATGAGACCCTGCTCGAACAGCTGCTCAACAACAGCGGGGTCCATCTCCTCAGCCTCGTCCATGTCACGCGCACGAGGAAGAATCACATCTGTAGAGAACTTGGAGACGGTGTCGGCCATGGCAGCCTCGATCTCGGAGAGGTGAGTGATGGGCGTGGGAGGGATCTCGGAGATGTCGATTTGCTCATTGCGGCGGATAGATGTTGTAGATAGAGGACGAGCAGTGTTGCTTAAGCGCAGAGTTAGCGATTGCTTCTGGTCATTCTCAAAATTGCCCTCACAGGTTTATTCTCGTCAACGTTCGGGGAGCGGTGGCTCGTGTGGCAATGCGCTGTGTGAGACCTCGACCACCTTGTAGAGCAGGGCGCACCACTCGAGTAAATGACGAAGACATCGTGAGATTCGCGGTGTTGAAAAGAGGAGTGAGGAAGAGTGGTGACTATGTCAGAGAAAAGAAAGATAAGAGATGTAGGGGAGCTGAAGTGGCTAGGTTAGATCGAGGTGTGAGGCGGGTATGTTAGATGTCTGACGATCACAAGCCAAAAGCGACAACCAACAAGACAAGCTCTTTGTATGGTATGAAACAAGAAGATGAAGGCGATAAGAGAACAAACAGGTCAAGATGTCAATTATTTTAGCCTCGGTATATACAAATCACCCATTGCCCCCAGTCGTTACACGCTCTTCCCTTTATACGGCTGAAGCGGTTGAAGAATCTCGCTGCTCGGCCTAGACCAGCCGAGGATAACCACCGAGGTCGAGGATGTCTTCGGTTGTACAGCGGTAATGGAACTTGACTTGACTTTGTTTGACTTGGATCGATTTGGGGAAATCTGTTAGCCAATGCGGGATGGGAAATGGGGAGGATTGCGGGGTGGGAAAAGATGCACCGGCGATTAACCGCTGACGTCAAAGATCTAGGTGGGGCATATTAGACTGTGGCATGTGATCTGCTGCTGGGTCCGGAGAAACGAAACATCCGAGTCTTGATAGCACGTGACACAGCTTCGAGAGGCTGAGATTTTGATATCGGCTGGATGAGCGTGGGATTGGGATAGCGAGAGGCCGAATACAGGATCAATTCGACCACTTCACACGACAATTAACTCAACCCGACCACCGAAGACTCGCCCAACATGGTCGGCTCCATCCTCCGCCAGTTCTTTTCCCCGGCGACACGGCGTCCCATTACCACAGCCCTCTCAACATCACCAAGTCAGCTGATCCAACCAAGCCTCCGAACATTCACAACCTCAGCACCCCGCGCATTCGCTCCCACAACAGCTCGTCCAGCGACATTGAACCAAGTCCTTCGCGGTATCCGAAAGGGCAAGCGCGCACGTCACGCTGTCTCTCCTGCCCTGTCCAACACAAACTGTCCCGCTCTCAAGGGTGTCTGTCTCCGCGTTGGTGTTGTTCGACCCAAGAAGCCCAACTCTGGTGAGCGAAAAACCGCTCGTGTGAAGCTTTCCACTGGCGCTGTTGTCACGGCGTATATTCCTGGCGAGGGACACAATATTCAGCAGCATAGTGTTGTGTTGGTGCGAGGTGGACGTGCACAGGATTGTCCTGGTGTGAGATATCATCTTGTTCGAGGAGCTCTGGATCTGGTATGTTTATTGCCTGTTGGCCTCAAACTGAAGTTCTGGCCATATCTATATTAAACGTTAAGATACTAATTACTCCAGGGTGGTGTTGCGAGCCGAACAACAAGTCGAAGCAAGTACGGCACTAAGAAGCCAAAGAAGGCAACAGTTGGTTGAACAATTTGCATACGGAGATCAAATGGACGAATTGGGTTAAAGGATGGCCAAGCGATGATACAAGACATGTGTCAAAACCAATAGACCTGGCTGCGGCCATGTAATGATATTGTACACTATTTCGAGCATTCAAGAAAGCATTCAAACGATCCCAGAACATCCTTGATTCATACAGTCTAACATGATCAAAAGTTGTCCAAAGTGCTTCAAACCCAGACGCCTGTTATTGGTTCCCGCAAGAACATCACCCAATGCCGGCCCATTGTGTGCAGCCCAGAAATCATGCAGACAATCTACCGAGCATTACGACCTGTATGATACAACCCTATACAACCCCATGTTGAATAATATTTTTGTTTACTGCTGCTTCTCGTAGCCCTTGGGCTTCTCCATGCCGTTGAGCTCGAAGAACCGAGAAGTGCCTGTTGCTTGGTTAGCGTATGATTCTGAAACAGCCTTCAACAAAACTTACAAGAGTAACCCTTCCAGTCAAAGTTGTTATCGGGGTTGCAGTGGCAACGGAGATCCAGACGTCGCTGCTCGTCGGTGGGGCAGTGAGTGAAAGGAACGTGGTAGTAGGCGATATCCTCGAAGAAGTGAATCTGCTCCTTCTTAAGGAGAAGACCAGCTGCGATAGAGTGGACAGGAGCATCACCCCATCGCTCGTAGAAGAAGCCACCGTCCTTGTCAAGAGACTCGAAGAAATCGAGATAAGGCTTGCTGCGGAGCCAGGACAAGCTACCAACCTCAAAGTTGGACCACTAAACTCAATTAGCTATGAAACGGGTGATAACTAGAGCTTAACTTACGAAATGGCACTTGTTGTAGTTCTCACCACCATCATCACTGAGGAAGCGCATAGAGTTGTCGGAAGAGATATGCTCGGGGTGGTTCTGCATGAACTTCTTGGTGCTAGCCCAGAGGGTAGGAATGGTGTCGATGTACTCGTAAAGAGAGAGAACGAAACTGTACTTCTTGTTGTTCTCATGCATGACACGGAAAGGGTCGTAGTGGATGTCGCAGAAGAGCTTGACCGAGGGCTCAACACGCCAGTAGTACTCATAGTTCATCATGAGTTCCTGTCGGAAGAAGAAACCAGACTCGAATCGGCACATGTGACGGTAGCTGATGGAATCACCATAGATAATCTTTCGCTCGTGCATATCCTCACGGACCTTGCGGGCCTTCTCCTGGTCAATCCACTCAGGGAAAGACCAGTGCTCCTCGGGAATCAGACCATAGTGAGTCTTACCAGAGCAGAGAGAGGTGGTGACCTTCTTGAATTGCTCATCGAAGGGCTTGTCGTTGAGGAAGACCCAGTCGTAGTTGTATCGGCGGTTGAAACGATCCTCGACCTGTCGAATGGACTCGGCAATCTCCCAGACGTCCTGGTTTCGAGCAAGAGTGACAAATGTAGCGTTCATACGGGGACCGGGAGCAGTGCCCTGGAGGTTGCTCCAGCCAGGGTCGTTGGGGGACATAGCCAGAGGAGCCTCAGCAAGCTCGCCCGAAGCAGGACCCTCCTTGGGGGTCTGAGGAGCAGGAACAGCGGGGGCATCGCCAGCGGGCTTCTGAGCGGGAGCGTCGTCCTTGGTGAGGGCAGTGTCTCCCTCCTCAGCAACAGGTGCCTGCTGACCGGGGAAGTTGACGTTGTTACCGGCATCAGGGGATTTAGGGATGGTGCCAGGAGCTTGCTGCTGGTTGCTGGGGCTTCCAGGACCGCCTGGGAAGTTACCGACACTGCCAGGAACGGGGATGGTATCGATCTTGGAATTGGAGAAGAAGTAAAACATAGTGAGCGTCTAAAGGGGTCGGGTTAGCAGGTGGCAACGTAAGCCATCATGAGCATCGAAACCCATGGGACATGAATGAATAAGGCGACGTACGAAAAGCGCGAGCGCAATATAGCGCACGTAGCGCGTATGACCGGCAGCCATGGCGGAAGAATAATCGACGATATAAAATCGTCAATACAAGAAGAGTTCAAATGAAGTGGGAGGTTTCAACAGAAAACAAAGAAGAAAGATGGATGATCCAAAGTCGATGTTTCGGTGGCAGCGCGCACGGGGAAAAAAGACACCTAGTAGAGCACCTAGCAGCCCGCCTACTAAGGCAGTTACGTACCTAGGGAGCCGGGGGACTGAGGGGCTCCAGTAAAAGGAACGGTCGGTGATCTTTCTGCACTAAAAAAAGATGGTCTTCCTCGTTAGTTCTTCACGAAGCGAAGAACAAGGTCAATATCGTGAACCAGACAGAACAAGTTATTAAGGAGAGAAAAAGAGAAGGTTTACGATGAAGGATTAATATTTACGAATTGGGCATGTGCAGGAAAGTATCTACTTATTCTAATACAAAAGACACAGTTGAAATCAGTGGCACGCAACAAGTTGCTGGAGAGCACTGGAATGAGATAACAACGTGTTCTGGGGGAACAAGCCCAGGCCTTGATCGTCAATTCTAGGCAAAGTCAGGTACACGCAGCGACTAGACCTAGAGGCACAGCTTGTCCTGATAAGAAGAGGGTGGCTCGAGGTATCTTCGGCAGGGGCTTGGAGGGAAAATACCTGATTTCCAGCACTTGGCAGCACTAGAACGAAGTATTCATGGAATGATATATACTTGGGATCCCCTGGCGTTCAGGGGGGGTATCCCGTCTGTTAGCGTATCTCAGCTTCGATTAATGGCTTCTGTGTCAAACTATTGCCGAGTCCAGACGCTTTTGGAGTGAGTCTAATGACATTGGATCCAGTCCAACAGGTAGCAAACTTTTTTCAGCTTATCCTCTCCCACAAGTCCGTTCAAAGAAAGGTGGATTTCTGTTCGCTGTCAAGATTACGACGACTTGCAGCAGGAGACTGATGTGTTTACAGGGATGCCCCGACCTTGGAAATCTCCATTGTCATCGCATCGCCTTGATCCAGATATAACAGCTCGTTTAGGTTGCGCCATGCGCCTCTTACAGAATGTTTAGGAATGGGGCATCTGCAGTAACTCAAGCCTCACGATCGAGAAGGTTTCTCTGCAGCAAATCGAGGCCTGAATTGGGAAAAGTGTTACTACACGTCGAATGCATCACCGGGTTTTCTCGTATTGCTGAATGAGATGGAGGTGCCCCTTTTTACGTTTCCTGGGCTTGTTTTAGGTTGGCAGCTTACATACAGCCCAGGAACCTTGCGTCAAAGGAACGCTGCAACCAGCCTGTAGTAGTCCCCGATTTCTCGTCCTCTCTCCACTGTACGAGGTAGCCAATTGTTTATTGCTGGTCTCTGAAGCCGTTCGTTCCGTTTTTGTTGTCTGTTAAGTTAGTTGATGACCTCCTCAACCTTGAATTGAGCCTTTCGGCTGATATCATGGATCGATAACCTTATTCAGGCTCAAACTCATGTCCGTTCCGTATGTCTGATTAACTGGCTGTTTATTCCCATTAATGTTTCACCTAAGATCTGTGACTTTATTATCAAGAGCTCTTCAAAGGTTGAAGGTTGAACCACTCGCAACCTACGATATCTACAGAGTAGAATCCCTCTTTGGGCCCGAGTTTCATACAACGATACAAATCAATTCAAGTAAAAGCGTCATTGAAGTGATTTACATGGATAACTCATGACAAAGGGCTGAGAACATGACACCGTGAAGAACCTTATTCTTGCAATGTCAAGATGATATCTTCATCCTTTTATATATGTAATTCCTTTTGTATGTAATGATTTTATTCATCCTAGTCTAAACCTGTAAATAGTGTACAAGCCTTAGCATCTTTTGGTCCCAATTGTACTCATTCGAAGAAGCTCACCAACAGAGCCACGTGACTCAGCACGTGAACTCATCCACCCTTCATCCAGCCGCATGTGGGGGAAGCGGGCTTGGAGAACAACGTTGGCACTTCGTCGCATCATCGTCGGCATCAGAGCTTCGCCGCGCATCAACATCGCAGCCCGCTCTCTCCCAAGCGGCTGTCCACCCTTTCAGCTTAAAAAGCTCATTGATAGAGTTTTCGAAACTTCTAACAACCTTTCCACAGCCAACATAGCGCTATATTCGCATGCTTGGCCACGATACAAACATCTTGAACCTATTTTACTGGAAGACATCATGATAGATTTGTGCGCGCTGAACGATCCTGAACATATCTCATTCTCTTAGTGGTGAGTGGATTTACTTCAGCTGTTGCTTTCCTACCCTGCTCGCTTCCCTCGGCCTGGTCATTGCTGGATATATATGTCCGGACGGGAAACCCTTCCACGTCCTTGGACCTAAGGACGAATTCCTGGGTTGCACAAGCTTCCTCCAGCGCAGCCGTCACAGGTGGCTCAAACATCAGAAAATCGTCTTCTCTTCCATGTTGGTAGTGATATGCGCCACATGATGTCCAGTGAAACAGAGTCAAGCAACTTCGACCACAACAGGACCCTGCAAGAAAAGGACTCAGGAAGCAGAGCAAGATGAACTATAGAAAACCCCGCCATCTCAGTCGTCACGAACACTCTATTAGCGACCCGAATAATTGGGAACAGAAGCTTGATATCTGATCCAGGGAGGTTATGGGGCGTTTCCTGAGGATACCTCGAGCGGGGCACGAAGCTCAAAGCGACTATAGTTGACTGGCGTTTGTACTAATTTCTTTCATAGTACAATCGACGTTCACTTGCCCAAATTCTTTCAAAATGTCCTTCTTCGGTTTCGATACCACGCGCCATAACACGGCTGCGCCTGGCTTCTCTCAATCTTACGATCCATTTGCTGGTTTATCAGGCAGGGATGGCGATGATGATGCCCTAGACTTCGAGGAGACTTATGACGGTCTTGGAGACCAACTTGAAGAGACTGGAGACGCATTCAATGACGACACTTTCGGTGACAGTGGCCCGACAGTCTCTCGCAGTGCTGGCAAGGATTTCGATTTCTTTGGCCAGACTGCCAAGGTTGCGGATGCCATTGATGAGGAGCATCTTCGCTACAATCGCCAGGGGCCTGCGGCTAAACCCGCTGCTTCTGCTCAG